CCCCCGCATCTGTTGCCTTTGTTTAGCTGTTATAGGAATATAAAGGTAAAATACATGTACAAGCCGCATGCCCCTAGGCTGGTGGTTCCTTGTTTAAACCTGAAAATTTAATTTTTTTTGCCTTATTCACTAAGTTACCTATCCCAGACACTTAGACTACAAAGGGCTTCTTTGGCAGTGAAAATGATTTACTATTTTTCTTCTATTGGCATTCATCTTAGAACTACAGCCAAGAAAGCAGATTTCAAACTGACGTCAAAAACAGGAATGCAACAAGCTGTTGCTCTGATCGCAAGGCAGAGACAGCTACAAGGTGAAGGAGGGCAAAAGGGGAGTAATGCTGGCAAGTAAACAAAATAAAATGAGAAAAATTTATTTTTTCTGGCCTGGTATCCTAAAAAATCATGCATTCTGATTGGCTGTTTGAGCGAGCGGTAGGCAGTATTTTCGCAGTATCTGCCCACGGTTCAGTATCCTGACGTCATCCACATGCTTGCATGGGATAACGGATTGTTTAAAAAGTTGAAAAGTAAAGGAGGGGGAAAAATAAGTTATTCATCTTCCTAAAGTTGGTCTGAATAGGGAAAAAGTGTGCCTTCGATCTTGAAGTGTGGATGGGACCTTAGCAAGCTCTACCCACATTAAATTATTTTTCACTAACAATACCTGTTAAATTTATCTCTATTCTAATAAAGTGAGGGACTTGAAACAGAGTATTTTTAAAGTGAATTATATTTTATTAAATATAATATAGAATAAGTTTACATTGCGTGTACATGGATATATTTTTTCAATTATTTCAAGTAATACAACTTCTCTCCTTATTTTTGCACTAATTTAAAAGACATTCAGCCACACAAGGATCTAGGAGTTGAGTCTCGCAATCAATGCAACCATTCGCAATACAATGATTTCGGCACGTGATATAGTTGGGATCACTTCTGCATATGCTCTTGCACTCCTCTTGTGTCACTGCTTGAATGTCTGTAGATATCAGCATCAGGGTTAGGAGTAGGGTGGCCAAGGCAAAGTACGAGATCTTCATCTGATAAAAAGATAGAATATTGGAATAATTAATGGTGAAGGAAGAATAAATTTAAAAAGTAAACAAAAAATAATGAAAATTGAAATGGATGAAAGAACAATGCATGAAGAAAAAACACTTAAGTTATGGTATATTATTATATATAAAATAAAGGTTACGTACTTACAAGATATTATTATGAAATATTAATAAATTATGTTATATAACTATATTTATAGAATAACTGTTATAAATCCTGCATTCTGATTGGTTGGGAGCACATGCTTCATGAGAGCTCACAGCACCTGCACACGCTTTCAGTTATGTCATTCTTATCTGAAATAATGGTTACTGTAATTGTATTGTATTTTATAAAAGGAATAAAAAACTTGCCTCCTGTGCTGTGTGGAGTCATAAAGCACATGGAGATTGACAGAGCACTCAAGAAGTGCGAGAAGTACTCCGCTATGCATCATCATTTGCCTAACACTTCTCTTGTGTTCTGCCAACCCTGGTGCGCTTTGTAACTGCACACAGCACACTTGCACATTTTCTATTTCTTAAATATATATAGTTATTTAAACTAAATGAACTTGATATGTAGCACAGATTTTTTCTTTTTTTTATCTAATGTGTCTCTTCAAGGAGACTAAAAGGTCAATATTTCTTTATAAGAATAATTACGGTTGTCAAGAAATATTTTGATTACTATTTATAATTATAACTGGCTGTTAAAATATAAATATACTCATAAGCAATATCAGTTTATTGCAGCTTGGTATGAATATAACTTTCTCAATCCTTTACTTTGATCTTGCCAAGTTTTTGTTTTTGTTTTGCTTCTTTGATATGAAGACGTATAATAATAATAATAATAATAATAATTGTGTACACTTTCCTTTTACTTATTATAATATTAAACATTTTTCTGAAATGTTTCATTTCAATTGCATTTATATACTTACATGGTTCCAATCCACTCCATTCAATTAAAGTGTTTTATAAAAACAATTCTAAATCAAATTATCAAAATACATTTTCAGTCTGTTTTTCAAATTTAATGTTGTAAAACCAATGATTATAAATTAAATCTAATAATAATAATAATAGGCTTTATTTCAAGAGAAAACAAATGTGTTGTATTTTAGTAGATAATTTTATCACCATAAGTATGAAAGCTAGTAGACTGATGTTTTGGACGTTAGTCCTTCGTCGGAGTTTATTTCAAGAGGGTAAACACATAACAGTAGTTAAAAACACTGATAACTTTGTGGCCTTCATGGCTAACTGTCAGTTCGTATAAGTTTTTGAACATAGTTAACTAAATTATAAAGTATACGAGGTCTTGTTAGAGCTAATGCTTTTCTTGGAAAAAAAGAAGAAAATCATTTGAATTCTTAATTCTAAATAGACCACATACTAACACTTTAAATAACGTTTCATACCAGCTAACAATTGGCTTCTTACTTTTTTTCTTCAAAAAAACGTTCCATTTATTTTGAAAAAATTCAAAGATATTCATTTACTTCAATTAAGAAGTTGAAAAACAAAAAAAAAATTTATCTTCTAAGAATTGAAGTCTTTATTGGGCCTTTTTTCAAATCATTATTATTATTTTTACTATCAGACAGGGATTAGTTGGAAAGATTTTTACAGCTATATTATTTTTTTAGTCTCACTGATTTTTTTCTTCTCTCCTTATGTTTCTTTCTTACTCTCTTTCTCTCTCTTTTTCTCTCTGCCACAGACACACTTCTTTGATCTTACAATACTTGAAGAGTTTTACATTTTCCTAACTCCCAGGATTTCATTTAAGGGTTCTTACTTTAATTACCTGCTCTCACACTCAGAGAAAAAACCTTACCTTGAAAGTGCTATATCTTGGACTCCTGATGAAGGAGTCATGAACAATTCCAAATTCCCCTCATTCTCTCTTTCTCTCACACACACTCTCACACACACACACACTCTCTCTCTCTGAGTTTAAAATCTTACCTTTGAAGTGTTGTAATCTTGGACTTCTGTTGACTAGTTTACAAGTGAAGTAATAGTCCCAAATCTCTTCTCGTAATTTATAACTTAAGACAGGTAGTGGGCTTGAATCTCCATCACTTCCTCAATCAAAAATTGCACGTTTCCTATGATAAGTTGTTGTCACCCTTGACATGAAAGGTATTCACGAAAGTACAAAAGCTCTAACGCTTAAACCATCCTTTATTGGTTCTACTTTATCTTTTGATGTTATTCCCAAGAGAAGCTTCATCTAATATGTATTGTTCATTAACTTTGAATGAAAGAGTTTTTTGTTCGAGTTTGTTTGCCGAAGGAAGGAAGGTGCTTTGTTTATTATTGTATTTTTTATCAATGAATGTTCTTTATCGTTCTGCTTGTTTGAGGTGGGCAGGAGGTAGCCGTTAGTCTTAATAGTTTAGCTTAATTGCTTTGGATGTAGCAAAACCATAGAACAATATACACCTAAAGCCATTGTACTGGGAATATTAGTGGGACAAAATTTAAAAGTTAAACCTATAGAATTAAAAAAAATATGACTGATCAGAAAAAAAAATAGTCCATTTATTGATAGGTAATGAAAAGAAAAAAGAAAATTAAACTACGATCCTGGACAAAAGTATTGGGACAGCAACATATAAAATTACATAAAATTGTTATTTTCAACCCCCCCACCAATTCAATGTTGTGGCAAGTGGGGCGTTTGCGATGATGTGTGCTTTGACCAACATTGAATTGGGGGAGGGGGGGGGCGAGCTTCATAGATGAAATGGCGTATGAACATTGAAAAATTATGGATATTGACAATATTTAAAAATTTTGCGCTGAGTTTTCAAGTGTCCCCATGACTTTTGTCCAGGATTGTAGCTAAACTAAAGGTAAATAGATAGAAGGAATTCAAAGGAAAAAAAAAAATCTTAAAGGAAGACATGAAAGCAAAAAAAGCCCTTTCATGACATGGTAAAGGATAAAACTAGTATACTATTTAAATTATTCTAATTTTCAAATAAATTTTCTCTAAAGGGTTACAATAATGTAATGTACATGACATGTTCATAAGTTATCGACTTATAATAAATGAAAGCTATTTAATATACATTTCAGTCTTTTTTCTAATTTATATCCATTGGTCCTTTCTTTGTTTATGTAAAAATTTGAAATTATATTTTTGTCACTGATATTCTAAATTGAGATTTAAGCTTTCTTATGATAAAGATTTTCTTATAGATATGCTGTGAACTTAAGCCTCTGATTTATAGACAAATCGAAAATAAGACTTAAAAGGGTCTGGATTTGAATAGACTTATCCATCATAATAATCTTTGGAGACATCCTTCAATCCCGAAATCTTATTAATTTTCCTTTATCTTTCTCCTGAAATTTTCTTCCTGAAACTTCCTGTTTGCAATGTTCAGAAATCAGAACGTTCTTGTTTGTTTTACTCACTCTTTATTAAATTTAAACCCCTTAGAATCATCCTGTAGGACTCTTAAACTATCTGGTTGTCGGGCAATCTTAATAATGTGTCTAGCTAAAGTTTGTTTAGTGTTTGCTTTTGGGATAATCCTTCTACTGCAGCCACAATTCAAAGAATATTAAGATTCCATGTTCAGTATTACATAGAAACAAAACCCCTTATATTTATTATAATATCAAAAGTCTAGTGAAAAGTTGCTAGTACTTGCTTGGACATCTCTCATCATTATCTGATTTTTTTCTTATAATTGCTGTATTGTAAATTATAGTTAAATACAAGTTTTTACATCCTCTTGTCAGCCTAAATTTAAAGTTCCTGAATTCATTGAATCCCAGACAGCACTTGATGTCTGGAAGTTGAAGTTTGAGCACGAAGTTCCACATTGTTTATTCTTCAATGACATATACTTGTTCTATTTTTAGGCTATTAAATTTAAAGTGTTTTTTTCTTTCTTGCCTGGATGAAAATTGGAAATGAATTGAATCTCAGTTATATACTATATCTATATCTAAAAAATCTAAAAAAATTCTAAAAAATCTACAAAGCTTTTCGCTGTTGTATCACAGAGTGGGACAATCACAACAGAGCTCGGCTCCAAACTAAGTGAAAGCCCAAAGATCGAATTACAATTTAGTAGTTGATTTTTGAGGAGGGAGGAAAACCGGAGAACCAGGAGAAAAACCCTCGAAGCACAGGAGAGAACCAACAAACAACTCTACTCACATGCGACATCGAGATCGGCAGGACTAGAACTCGGGCCGCATTGATGAGAGGCAGCACATTAGCAGCACACGCCACCGGTGCTTCCCCAATATGACCCCAATATACTGCAAGCAACATATTTTTTCACAGTCAAAAGTGGCAGATAAAAATAGTCAATTATATTGTAGCATCTAAATTGTGAGTAAATCTCATCATTTACTCAACGTTATTGTTCTCTAGTCAGATTTCTTTGTGGTAATGTGCTTAAAATGTAGAATTTTTAGTAGTGAGAGTAGTCCTTGAAAGTCATCTATATTCATCATTAAATTACTTTAACTAGGAAAAGTCAGTCTCCAATATATTTTGACAGAATTTCATCCAAGTGCTTCTTTGTGTTGTTCGACTTAGAGATATTAAAGTTTCTGGATTCAACATTCATTTGACTTCACGGCACTATAGATAATTGATGTCTGCCAAGTGAAGTTGGAACAAGACATTTCGTTTTACTGTTTGTTGTTCAATGACAAACAGACACCTAATAATATCATAGTTTGCTGCCATAGGTTTGTCAGTAAGATAGAATTGTTGGTCTGAAATGATTTGGGGAAATTAGGATTTCCTGTTATATTTAATATACTACTACTGTAGGAAAGTATTAATGCTGAAAAATATCTACTTTATGTTAATTAAAAAAAAAAATTTTTTTAGCTCCATCAAGAACATTACTGCCCATGTCTGCTAATAAAATGACATCAACACCACTAACAGTAGCTAGAATATTACAGTAGAAGCGACATTAAAAGTAAGAATAAGCACAGCAATGATGATAAACTTTTACCAACACCACCACCAACAGCAACAACTGCAACTACAGCAACTATATAAGCATCAATAACTGGCAACAACAGCCAGAGCAAGAACTTCAGAACTTCATCAACATTGACAGCAGCAACAACAATGCCAACCAATGACAACTGCAACAACAACTTCCTCAACATTAACAGCAGCAACAACACCAACACCAACACCAACTGCAACAACAACTTATCATTATACTATTACTATAATCTTAATTCACACAAATATAAATTTCTCCCTCCACTTTTTTTTTTTTTTTTTTTTTTTCAATTTATAATATCATCCCATCTTTTCCAGACACTTTATATTAGGTTAGCTTAAATAAATGTTACATAAAATATATTAATTACTCAGTATTTTTATGATATTACAGATGCAACTGTTCCAAAAACTTTTCTTAACAAATTTTTAAAAACATTCTTAAGAAAACTAAGTAAAGAAAGAGGAAAAAAATTCATTCTAATTACCTTGAGGATGTAGTCAGAATTATGTTTTACTTAATATATACTTAGGTCCTGATAATTTAGGAAATCTTCTCAACAAATTTAATTATAATTCTTAATATTCCTATTGATTGTAGAAAAGAGAAATAATTTGTATTAATTTAAATTATAACTTTCACCTTGAGAAAGTAGTCAGAATCATCTAAATTTGTTATAGACTGTTTGATGAGTTATGTTATAATTAAATTACTGTGTAGCATTATAACATCTTAATCCCAATGTTATATCTTTTTTTAGCACCCCTTACGGAAATAATCTTAGATTGCCCAGCTGTTAACATAATGTTCTAGGTGTTAATTAAGGTGTTAATGGTTATTCTTCTTAAACTGATTTGGATTTACAGCTGTAAGCCCAGTTTATTGAATGAATAATTAAAGGGGATTAGCATGATAATGTATGTGTTGACTTTTTTCCTGAATGGGATGGGGTTTCACTGTCTAAATACTAGATAAATGAAAATCAGAGATTTGCCACAAGATTGTTGAAAGGAATTATAGAGCAAAAAGATCAAAATATCAACAGAAATTACTTTTAATATGTTGAATGCGAACTAATAACGAAATTATAATGGAATCAAATTAATATTTTTGAATGATTTGACTTTGAAAATAATTTCTTACTTCTATTCAAACTTCCTTTAATAACAGCTTATAATACAAAGTGTAACAAATAAATCAGTAAGTTATAGAATTTCAATTCTTTACTTTATTGACACAGCTGGGCCAAGATGCATTTCAAAATTAGGTGTTTCAAAATTAAAACTGTTTCATTTCAATTTCAACCTTTTTGTTACTTGCTCATGAAAATGTAGGCCCATATTTTTCACAATTTGGCCGTTTTACTTTTTCCACAGCAAGGGGCAAATTAGTTAGTTTAAAGAGTTTGTAATTACCAAATATTATTCTGTTATACAGTCTTGAAACAAATTTATTTTGTCAAACTTACGAGGAAAATTATTTGATAACAATTTGTGAGAGAGGAGAGAAGAGAAGAGGAGAGAAGAGAACCCAAATAAATTTATTTTGTCAAACTTACAAGGAAAAATATTTGATAATAATTTGTGAGAGAGGAGAAGAGAGGAGAGGAGAGGAGAGAAGAGAAGACAAGAAAAGAGATTATATGAGATAAGAGAAGAGAAGAAAAGAAATGAGATGAGATAAGAGAAGAGGGGGAAAAAGAGCAGACTGAGGGGAGAAGAGCAGAGTATGTGTAGAGAAGAGGGAAAATAATCAATTATATTTACTTTCGAAGGTTAATGAAAACATTTATATAAAAGAATAAATATATATACATAAAAACAATTTCTAGTTAGTTCTCTCCTGTGCGTTAAGGGCTTTTCTCTAGGTTCTCCACTGCTTTCCTCCTACCACAAAATTCAAGCTCTTCTGAATTCTAATTAGAATCCAGTGCAAGAAAAGCCGCTCTGTAGAATCCACTGTTAATTCCCATTATTATTATTATATTTATTATTATTAATAGTTTGTAAAAATTCCATCATTTGTTACACATTATGCCTACCTTGAAAAGCAAGTTCACTGTATATATTAAGGACTTAAAGTATAGCTTGCTCTGTTATGGGATTATCTTCTCTCTCTCCTCTTGCCTCTGCGAGCGGGTCTGTTAGTTGCTTAGATTACTATCGTGTGTTAAATAGAAATCCTATGAATGGAGGCGTTAATCCCTATTGCAATTATTTCAATTTCAATGTCTTTACAGACAAAGGTTATAATTAATAATTGGAATTTAATAGTTTTAAGTTTAGTTTAATGAATTTGCTACTTTAAATACTGTGTTCCCGAGTTTCAATCAGCTGATAAAAGTCTCTAAAATTCTGCTGCAAATGGTGATCAAACACTTAACCGCTATGTGGTGTATTACAAAAATATACCTGATTCGTCTTGGTACAATATTTTTCCCATAATTACAAACCACCTGTTATTCCCTAGCATATGAGAACATTCAATGGATAAAACTCAAATGAAGAGATCATTCTCTATACTAGGGAATAACGCTTGGTCTGAAATGGGAAAACATTCAGTCGATAAAACTCAAATAAAGAAACCTATTCTCTATACTAGGGAACGACACTTGGCCTGAAATGAAAAAACATATTGCACCACGATGAATTAAGTCTATTAATTCTGAAGAATTCTTTCTGAAAAATGAAGTTCTTAATTCATCTTCTAGATATTTGGTATTGAGTTCTCATAGAGTTTGTAATAATAATATTCATCTCCTATAATAATCCCTCATGTAATTAATTCGGACCCTAAATAAAAAAAATCCTATTTGAGCAAAAGTTTCTCTGTTCACATTTTCGGCTAATGAAGAATTTTTTCCCCCTATGGAAAGCAATTTTTAGTATTTATAAACAATTTTGTCTTTAACAAATGCTTTGAAATTTCACAGACTTTCACTGAAAACAAAAATATTCTGCACATCAAAATCAAGCCAAACTCTGAGCAACAGAATTTGAAACTAGAGTATCGATTAATCTTGTTGGTCTATTAATTTTCGTAACCCAATTGGAAGGGTTTTTCTCTGGGTTCTCTAATTTTCCTTCTGCCGCACATTAATCACAAGGGGTTTCCATAACATTGTCGGAAAACACAAAGCTATGAGGGCACGTGCCTATAGAATGTCATGGAAATGCCTTGATTGACGTCCACCAAAAGCTTCTTTGTCGCAACAAGAACAATCGCTAGAGCGGCGCGTGTGATTAAGAATGGCTGTAAAAGACATTACTCTTCGTGGTGCAATGTTCTCCCATCACAGACTGTGTCATTCCTAAGAGTATCATTTCTTTGTTTAATGGTTGTCTAGAATTATCTAGGAATGACATGGTCAGAAATTGGAAAACACAAAGCCCGAGCTTTAAAGATACTGTCTATTGCTAGTTCTAAGTAGTTAAGGTCTAATACAGAAATGTTTTTCTGAGGACTAGAAGTGTGACACCTTGATTATTCTGTTTTGATTTGACAGTTCTAAAGTGTGAGGAATGCTTCAGTGCCACAGCCACTAGTAGATGTATCAAGTGTGAATGTGTCTTCTGTACCAAGTGCTTTGAAAAGGTACTAGACAATATTAATAATAAAAGTTAAGAATCTTAATACCATCTTGAACTTGGCCAATAGACCCCTTGCATGTGACGTCAAAGCAGCTCAATTTGGAGGACAAAACAAAAGAATCTCAATCTCCTGAGAATAGTTCCAATCAGTGAACACAAATAATAGTTGCAAGCCGAGGTTGGAGTTTGCAGCGCATGATAAAAAGTATAGTTTTACTATGTGCGGAAACGTCAACCTTGGCTTGGGACTATTAATTATTCTTGGTCACTGAATGGAACTGTAAAATGGAGTATTGGAAACCTATTGCGATGTGATCCAAATTGAGTTGCATCCCGACAAACTGCAAATGGTTTATTGCACTGAGCATTCAGGCTTGCTAGTAAGAGAGCATAACAGCAGGAACCCAAGTTTAGTTTTATTACTTTATATATGGGATGACTGATGTATTGCATAACTCACACACTAATGAATTAGTAATTAAAGTAAAGCTCATGCGATCATTCCAGCATGTAGTATGTCCTACATGTATATTAAGCTAATAAATTATTAATGATATATTCATTTTACAGGTCCATTCTTCTTCTCATACACTTCAAAAACACAGACCTCTTCCACTACTGGAAACAAGGTAACGTTAGGACCCCTAGCACAATCCCAATGTGGTTCCAAATTTATATTATTATAGCAGTATCAGTGGCAGGTCCAGGTACTTTAGCAGGGGGTTGACTATTACACAGGTTTTACCAAGGAATGCGAGGAAAAGGGGGTGGTTTACTGAGGATATACTGAGAAATTTATGCAAAAGCTGGGTGAGTAGGTACCCACTTTACCACCCCTGACCCACCCCTAAATATTCATACTAGCTTACAAATCGATGCCAGAAATCTCTTCTTATCCATGCCAACCATTAAAGGAAGAGAGTAGCCAATAGGTTGGTTCAATAATTACAATAAATAACCCTAAACTTCGTTATTGAAATGTAGAACCTGGAAAATCAAATTTAAAAAATACCTTATTGATTCAGGCCTAGGGGCGTGTAACAATCTTCTAAGCGTTTGAGATGACAAAATCAGTAAGATGAAGAGCACACTACTTTTCCAATAAGACGCTTTCGATTGCAAATTAGTCAAATACCGGCATGTTCCTTGATTACAGACTCATTTATACAGGGTTAGCCTCTTTACATTATCAGTTTATTCACAAATACAAACGGTAGAGTAAAGAATGCACAACTTCAACAATACAAACACTTTGAAATTCCACAGACTCACACAAGAACACATGAATATTCAAAATATATTACTATAATTATAATATAATCAAGGTCAACCCTGTACGACAGAGAATTTGAATTCTTAATAGTGAATTGTCTTTTCCATTTTATTGAATATGATATTTGTAATTTTTTTCAGTGCGGATGCAAATTCTTTTGGTTGTACTTTGCATGACAATCGGCCATTTGAGTTCTTTGACAAGGATGACAAGCAGCCTGTCTGTGCACATTGTGTGGTGGTGGGGGACAGACAGACACATGATATAGTACCCATAGATCACATGGTAAGAGAATAAATGAATGGACGGACAGAAGATTACCACCAGCCTGTCTGTGCACATTGTGTAGTGGTGGGGGA